GATGTTGTAAGTAATTACATTAAGCTGATAACTCTTAGAAACACTAAAGAATCTTGTATAAAATAATTGAAAAGCACCAGTTAAAATGAAATGAATCAACCAAGAGCCTTTTTGTAAAGTCCAAGAAACATTATTTGAATAATAAACCTTTTTGTTTAAATTTTTCTGTGACATAAATTTTGTTTTAAATAAAATTGAAATAATTTATTATTCAAAGAGAATAAAAAATTAATTTACCAGTTTTAGTTGCTACAAAAACTCCTTTATTGGCATTTAAATTTGTAGGAAATAAACATAAACCATCACTGATTTCTATTGATTTTTCATCAAAAATAAGCTTATTTTTGGTCAAACAAATAACTTTAGAATCTAAGTATACAATATCTAAAACATCATCATAATTATAAGTATACTCTTTATCAATAATTAAATTGTTTAAATCAAGATTATAAATTTTTAAAGTGTCTCCTAAGATTATAATGTTTTGTTTCCTTATGAAGAGTTTTGATAAACTTTTAAAAGATGTAGAGCTTATAATACAATTAAGCTTAACATTATAAACATACATGGTGGAACTATTATCATCAACTAAGATTAAATTAGTATTAAATTTATAAATCCTAGTGATGTACTTTTCAGTGATATTATAAGAAAATACTTTACAATCTAAATTATAATGATCAATTCTATTTTGTCTTTTAACAAATAAAGAAGTTCCAATTAAAACAACCTTTTCAATTTCTTCATCAAATCTCATCTGACCAACAATTCCAAAGCCTTTATTAACATTTAAACCAAACACTTTAAAAGTATACTTATCAGTACACACTCCAATAAAAATAGTATCATTAAAAACAACAGTTACCAAATTAGTAAGTTTTTGATCAAAATAATCATTAAAAATATGCTTACCAGATGGATATTCTAACACTCTAAGAAATCTATCTTCTATGGCTATAATATATCTTGTATCTATTGTAATTTCATCTACAAAATGTAATTCCAAATTAACAGTAAAGTACTCAGTCAAGAAAGGAATGTCTAACTGTATAATTTTATCATTCTCATCTGTGTGCTGGTTAAAAAACTTAATTGCTTTTTCGTTTAACTTCTTTTTCTTTTTTTCCAAATACAATTGAACAAACTCAAATCTATTACTTACAAATCTATAAAAAGGACTTCCATTTCTCACCGTAGCTGTTTCTACAAAGTTAGAATACCATGCAGCTAGCCTCGAATATTTGCATTCTTGGTTATATTTTGGTTTGTGTTTATCAAAGTCTACATTAAGAGCTTTTTCAAATAAAACCTTGGTAGAATCATATTGATACTTATCTAGATACTCATAAAGTAGTATACTGAATTGATCAACCTCCTCATTGTCGCTAATGAAATTCTCATCTAATCTTTCAGACATTGAGGGTGTTAATATCATTTTTCTTAAATAGATTCAAAATAGGAATGTTCTATTTTTAACATTAAATAATCTATTTTCAATAATTTATTGATATTATAAAAATGATTAAATTCACGTGTCAGCTGTCAAATCAATCATTAAAAAAATTAATATTTTTTTCTTAAAAAATTACCTGTGTAAATATTTGATAAAAAAATTTAAATAAATTTTTATTTATTAAAAAAATAAATTAATATTATTGATGTAAATAAAAAATAAACAAAAGAAAATTTCATAATTAGTCATTAATTGTTTGTTTATTTACATTAAAGATAATTAAATAAAGCTACACCTTTCCAAATTTAGAAGGAAATAATACCCCTAATAAATTCATTAATATGATGA